CTTACTGCTGGCAAGCAAAGCCTGGGGAGGAGGATGCTGGCTGCCTGGGGGGTAGCCTGGCTGTGCGAGCATCGTGTCAGAAAACAGTGCCGATGTTTTCTTGCCTTCACTCATCCTTCAGACTGCACCACTCAGTGGCTGCAGCTCTCAAATACAGAATGATTTGATATATTTGATCAGTGCAAATGCACTTTTAGTACTGTATAATACAAGCACTCTTGTGGAATAGATGAGCTGGAAGTGTCAGCAATAACTGTGATTCTTTCTCCACTCCCTATGCCCCCAAGCTGAACTCCTGATTTTTGGGAACTTCAAGAGTTGGATTTCATGTTATTCTGATTTCTTAAGGCTCCATTTTGGTCATATGTTGAGTGAGTAGAAAGTGGAGAAGATGTCAACAGTCACTGCACAAATAAACACTATTTTTTTCCCCTCAGTAAATTGCACTAAACAGTAGGTTTAAAAAGGAAAAAAAAAAGAAACAGCTTTTTAAATTCAACTTTGACATCATAACTAACAAGCTGGGTGTTAATTTGATTTAATTCGTGATGGTTTGGAGCTCCTCAGGTTGCTTTTTCCTACTGGAGGAAAAAAAAAAACAAGTGGGAAAAATGGTTGAGAAAAGGTACCAGAATTTCTTGTTTGTGGGGTTTTTTGTGTGTGTGTGTGTGTTTTCTTTTTTTCTTTTTTTTTTTTCTTTTTTTTTTTCCTTGAAATCTGTGGTGTTCTCCAGTGCAGCATTCCAGGGGCACTTAGTGTGAGCTGAGGGTCCTGCTGCATCTGTTGGTGCGAGGGAGAAAACGCTCTTTGTCCTTTCATGTGGACTTTTGCAGCAGAGTAATTCACTTACTTGGTAGAAGTCATGCACTAAACTGTCCCCTTCTGTTGGCAACAGTTTAGCTTGGGGTTCTGGCAGAGAGATGACAGCCATTCAGTCTGAACAGCCACTCATCTGCTGCTCTCTCTTTCTGAAAACACCTTTGTTAAAATATGTCTCATTAAAGCAATTTACTTCACATCTCATAAGTGAAGAAACAAAGACGACTGTGTTTTTTTTTTTTTTTTTTTTTAAGAAATGGCCAAAACACATCATATAAAAGACAGAAGGCAACCTTAAATGACAGACCTTTAATGGGATGTCAAGCCTTTGGCTTACCTCTTTAGCTGGTACAAATCACTATTGCCCTGTTGAGGATAGGGTAGCTGTGCTCACTTTGAACTCTGTGTTAGTTCGGAGTTAATGCAGATCGGGGAGAGGGTGTTGAATCACTTTCACAACTGGGTGACTTTTCAATATGTTAATAATTTGTTGGTAATTCTGTCTTGGTAGTTTTCTACCCTTTCCTCAGTAATATCACACTTTGCAGAAGTATTTCCATTGCAGCTTGCCAATCTCTACTATCAGGAATTGCTCCGGCATACAGAAACCCACACTGTTCCCAGCTTTCATCATGCAATGAGGAGCCTGTTTCTTGAAGTCTTTTCCATTCTTCCTGTTAGTTGATGGTAAAGCTGTTCTGTTTTAACTTTGAAACCTCAGCTACTATTTGAAAAACTGTAAGACACTTGATCCAAATTTGCTGGAAAGTCCGAGTTCTATCTTTACTCCTGATGCAGGTTTTTTTTATGCAGGTTTAACTAAGTGAATCTTTAAACATTCTTGTTAGTAAAGCACACCAGTTTGAGGGTGAAATGATGCTTGTGTGTTAACAGGCTGATTGACTCTGTGTGCTGTGCTAAACAGTACTAGATTTGGCTTAACTGTGCAAAGTGAAGTATTAGTATTTGCAAGTTGTGCTGTGGGCTTAACTTAAGCTTGAAAGAATATTTTTCAGGCACTATCAGCAACTCTGTGTTGGTGCTGCAGGATAGGAACAACATCTTCCTGGAACTGGGAGAACATGGCAAAAGCCTCCGCTGCATCTCCATTTAGTTGGTATCTGCAGTGTAATCTTTCAGATGCCTTTTTGTACCTGCTGCTCAGAGTCCTTGTCTGTACCTCAATGATCCTCTCTAATGCATCCTTACTCAGCAAAGGACATAAACTTGAACTTGACCAAAACTGTTGCTTTACTTAAAGTGGTGATCTGGATCGTTTTGTCATCCAGTTTGCTCCGTGCTCCCTCTATATGTCATTTTGTTTTGCCTGGGATGAATCATTTTTTAAGTTATGAGAATTGTTGGTCTTGCTTAATGTTAGGTTTTCCTCACTCTTGTTGCTCTTGTAGGGGCTCTGTTTTTAAATGAAAAATGATTTGCAAATAATTCTGCAGCTGCATTTCAGTGGGAACCTAGTCTTGAAGCTGTAAGCAGCGGCAAGTCCATCAGTGGAAAGACAAACTGAGAGGGCTGCATTTTTAAATGGTAATAGCCAGTCATACAAAGCACAGTTGAATAGATATGTCAGCAATGATTAGATATGTGGTTCCTTCTGATGAGAACTCCCTCTAACAGACCCTTACCAATGACCAAATGTAAGATTTAATAAAACTAGGTAGGGAGAACTCCTTCATTGTCATTCTTGTGTACATAGATCTGTGGCAGATGCGTAGCTGGGGTAATGAACTGCTGTTTGATTTAACTGATGATGTGGATATTTCTGCTAGAAGCAAACTTGCTTCTTTTCCCAAAAGACAGTTTTAAGACATGGCGTCAGGGTGAATGCTGCACGTCTGTCTTCTGCTTATTGAAATAAGAAAGAACAGTTGCACCTACTCCTCGGTGCAGATTGTGAAGTAGCACTTTGGAAAAGAACGAATATTTTTGAACACTGCCAGCATTAACAGGGTTAAAACATCATCTCCTGGCTACAGCAGACACCAGATGTGATGCTGAGAACTGCACAGATGTAGCTGTCGTATGAGCTGCCTAACACGTGTTTTTCTTTGCTAATCCAAGCAGATATTGCAGGACAAGAGGAAACGCGGCAGGCCTTCCCTTTGGGCCCGCGCAGCACGAGCAGCCAGCCGAGCGCTCGGCCCGTGCGAGGAGGTGGGTTAGCTGAGGGAGCTGGCAGCAGCAGCCCCCGTGGAGGGTGAGCTGTGCCCGTGTGCCTGCCCTTGCCTGGCACCCCCATGCAGGGCACCCCGAGGAGCTGCTCTGGGAATGGGAGGAAAGCCACGCTGCCTGGGGAAGCTGCTCTTCTCATTGAAACCAAGGAGGGAGGCTCTTAGGCTGCCTTTCCGCATGCAAGTGAATGATATGATCATAGAAACAAGCAGTAGAGGTGTGAGGGAAGGTGATTTGCTTGTGTTTTGTAGGGCCTTTTGTTCATGTCTCCACTCTAGTGAAGATTTAGAATCAGGGAAAGGCCTTCAGGATCCTCAAGTCCAACTCTAAGCCCTTCAACCCCATGCCTGTTCCATTCTGTCTCCCAGTTCTACTGCTCCTCCATCAAGATTATGCAAAGTTAATTTGATGTCTGTATTGGTTCTATTAAGGAATCCTATTCTGGTCTGTGCACTGGGTATGTTTCCTTTGAAACAAACTCTTTGTCAAGCTGTGTTGAGTTAGAGATAAGAAAATCAGATTTTCCATATGAACAGAGAAAACTTTTGTATTTATGCATTTAAAATGCATTGTGGAAGGCCGCAGTTTTCATAACCTGATGTAAGGAGCCAGACTATATAAAGCTGAAATAGTTTGAAATTCCAGCTGTTTGCTAAGTTTTCCAGTTGAAGTATCACAGCCTCTGTGGGAGGCAGCGACTTTGGACATTAAACCCTTTTGCCCAGAAAGTTGCATCTGAAACCTTCTATCTGCCTTGTCTGGGAATGTAGCCTTATGTTTGAATGGAAGTTAGTTTGCTGAGAACTGAATTTTATTTGGAAGGCTGATGTGAGGTAGCAGTGTTTATTTGTGAAGTGCATTATTTTTTGTAAAGCACTTTGAAGATAATAAGGCAATCTGAATCTAATTTGTACTGTTTAAAGCAAGGTTTTGCAATGAGCTTTTCCCCTTTTGCATCTATTTTGGTGCAATGGTGTAATTCTTAAAGCTAAGAAACATGAGTTGCATCACTGATTAATGTTTTTTTTTTTTTTAATGCCAACATTGTATGTTTTCACTTTTATGGTCTGTGTCTGCTGAGTGCCAGAAGTTACTGTCTCAAATGGTAAATTGATACAATACAATCTACAAGGGAGCCTAAAAAAGAAGCTAGCAGAGATGTTTACTATCTTTCATCTGTTTGCCAGTTGTGCAAAGTTATGTTGTTCAAACTGTCAGACATTATGTATTGCTTCCTGCTCTCTCTCTCTCTCTCTTTTTTTTTTTTTCCTTCTGATTATGGACCTCTTCAGTAACTGACATGCTTATCATGATGTCCAACTAGCTGTGTAATACTTGGTGCTTTATTGCTTCCATGTTTCAGCCTTATTCTGCTGTTTGACCCACAAGACCTTTTCCTCTTCTCGCGTCAGATGTAGGATCAGACTTGCAGGACTGACTTATTCCCCATAAAAAAACAGGCAGGCCCTAGAGTGTTTAATTTAGTTTGTTACTAATCTATTGTAGGGATTGTCAACTAAAACAAAAGAATCCCAAAACATTAATTTCATTAAATAGATTTCATAAACACTACCAGGAAGGTAGCTGGCACTGTCTGAGGCAGTGATAGATGTAGCCTTCAGATTTCCAGTCAAACACTGCTCTTGTGCTTTAACCTCAGTTTCTCAAGTGCACAGGGGTTCCAGATGCCTGCAGAGAACTATCAAAGCTATCCAGTAGTGAATACTCCTGGGTGCTGAAAAGGGGAATGGATAGGACCATATGTGTCTCTTTTGCTTGACTTCAGGATGCAAAGACACTTCTATTTATTTTATTTTATTTTTTAAAGTGGTAAGGAATATAACAGAACTGGTCTGGAATATCGCACAACTTGTGGAAGCTTCTGTATGAGCTGCTGCCCCCTTATTTCATCTCTGGACAGCTGAAGTGATTCTGGCTGCGAACTGATGTGTTCTCTGCACTGCGCTCCTTGGCCAGCCTGAATCTTTTTGTTTTCTCTCTCTCTTTTCTTCCTCCTTTCCTTTCCACCCCCCCCTGCCCCCCCCCCCAAAAAAAAATTAATATGCCTACAAAAGTTTTCTAATTTTAGGTAGCAATTTTTAGAAAATACTACTACACAAAGCATTCTAAAATCCCTTGAAAAATCCCTTCCTTTCTTCCTTTCCCACTAGAGAGAACTTGGAATGCAAACAACTTCATTTTCACAGGCTTTTGTTGATGCAGACATAGACATATTATAAATGAGCTTTACAGAAAGCAATTGGATCAACATGGAGACCATCCAAAGTGTTAATGCACTGTAACATGTTTTCTTAGTCTTTGTCACTAGGTTGCAGTGTGAAGGGAAATGACTTCAAGCAGCTTCTGGCCAGGTTTTGCTGTGGATGCTGAAGCTGTGGAGCAGCAGATTGCCTCTGCAAGGGTATCTGCCGGGAGAAGCTGGCGAGGGGCAGTTGGAAAAGCTGCAGTTAAGTTTCCTCAGGCAGCCAAACCTCAGCTGGAAAGTGCTAGTTGAGTTTGTTGGGGCTACTGTTCTGTGATTTGTTTGCTTTTCCTTACGCCAGTACTTCCAAAATAGCTCTCAGATCTTTTCTTTAGCTTTTAGCTAGATGCAAGTGAGTCCAATGTGTATGTGTTGGTAGCTGGGGGAGTATATCCAGGTTGGTGGAAGATAGAGCATTCAGTTGTCTGTCAATGAGGATGTAATTAAGGCTCATCCTGTGGTGGCTCAATAATGTGATGGAAGTTTTCTGTCTTCATAAAACAAGAGTGCACTTGCTAGTCTCTGGCGGAGAGGAACTGAGCAGAGTAGTCCTTAAGCTTAGGGCTTCAAGTAGAGTTGTGTAACTCTGCAGCTATTGATCGCTTTTGTCCATGTCTGTGGCAAGATGCTTTCGATCTAGGCCATCCCACTCAGTGCAAACCACAAGATGATTGAGTGGTAAATGATGACAGTCTGTGTTACCGCTTGGGAGAGAAATCGGAGACGTGGTGGCTGCTGAGGGCCGAGGGGAGCAGCTCCTTTGCACTGCCCTTGCAGCGGGGTTGGCAGGCGCTGCGTGCTCTGCTGGGCTCTGTCTGCTGCTTTAGCTTCATTCTGGAGGAGCCCGGTCCGTGGGCCCTGCGACAGGCCTCTGCTGCAAACCAAAACATGTTAAGTGGGGTGCTCAGGAAGTTTGTGTCAACAACACGCCTCTGATCTAAAGGAAAAGGCTAATGTAAATAAGGCTGGGATATTCATTTAAACCACCATGGAAATGCTTGGTGCGCTTTGAATGTGCAGTCTGGGCTCAGACAGTATTCAAAATCTCAAAAGGTTTATAGCAGAACTGGAAAAAGCTCCGAGGCAGGGGTGTAGTAAGTGTGCAGATAGCTTCTGTACAGGGAGAAACAAAAGAAACATGAGATTTTTTCAGCCTAGGAAACAGAGATCTGGCTGTAGCCTGTGAAATGATGTGTGGTAAGGTGGAAAGGAATCTTCATCTGTCACTCTGAAGTTTCAGAGGGTGCTGAAAGCAGTTAGCTGGAAGGAGGCTTAAGGCAAGCAGGAAGGATTTGTCACACAGCTCAGTGCTGCTGAGCATGTTGCGGACACTAAAGCATAAACACGTTAAAAGTAGATGGGGAAGACGGGAAGGAGAAGGTTATCAGCTGAACGTAGTGGCATGGGTAGGGATCTATCCAGCAGGAAATTGCAGACCCCTGAGGCCAGGGCTCGTAGAAGACCCTCCCCTGCTTGTTGTGCTGCTTGTGCGTGGCCGTGGGCCAGGCTGCAGCGCGTCGCTGTCGTCGCACGGGCAGTGGGAGGGCTTCCAAAAATTAATGAAGAGGCTCGATGGATAGAGACGCTTACGCCGAGATATCCCTTCTGATTAATGTTCCCGTGGCAGGGGGTAGAATTATATTGCACGGTATTAGAGTGAAGCAGCAAAAAGAAAATGCTGAAACTAATAAAGCACTTTGAGTCATCAATTCTTTTTTCTCTGATCTTATGCTGTTGTTAGATGCACTGTGGTTTTGATATCCTGTGCTCAGCTGCCTTCTGTTTTGTCTTCATTCCTTCTATCTGAGCACTTCTTCAGTATTGTCTTCTGATACCTTCATTTTTGGTAATGGGCCTGTACCTCAAAGGAGAGTTAGAGTTTAGATGACTAAACCATGATGGCTGAGGAAGGGATTAGCATCAGTCTGCCTTCAGAACAGTAGGAAAAGCTCGTCTTTCAAAGCTGTTCATATATGTTGAATGAATTTGTCCATGTATTTACTTGAGTTTTGTTCGCTACATAAAATAAACTATAATTAATGTCCTTGGACTAATTTTGTTTGTACAGTTCTGGATATTCCATCTATGTTGTTATATTTCCGTTATCCTTAGTCTCTTTATCATCATAAACTCTTTTTCTTTCTTAATCCCAATGCTGCTGTGTAGACCAGAGAAGTTCATAATGCAGATTTGTAGACTTGTGCTTTATTTCTAATTCATCAAATTAAGTTGCTGCTTGAGTAGCGTTTGTGCCCCTTGCACCTACAAGGCTGAGACAGCAAGAGAGAACAGAGACGGTGTAGGATCTGGGTGTTTTTTTTTTTTTTTCTTTTTTCTCATTTTTTTTTGGTTCTCACTCCAGGAGGGATATGAACACAATAACTACTTGATTTGGTGATTAACATAATGTCCTGTTTGAATTGGTGTGAGGGAGAATAATCCTGCAGGCTTTTCACAAACCAGAAGAGTGAAAAGAGTACCTGAAATAGAGCTAGTTTTAACTTAGAGGTTCCTAACAGACTTCCTGGTTGTCCATCCAGGTCAATATTTTGAGAAGACAGCAGCGCATGATTAAAAACCGGGAGTCAGCCTGTCAGTCACGGAAGAAGAAAAAGGAATACATGCTGGGGCTGGAGGCCAGGCTGAAGGCAGCCTTGCTGGAGAATGAAAGGCTCAAGAGAGAGAATGGCTCCCTGAAACGGCAGCTGGATGAAGTGGTGCTGGAGGTAAGAGATTTGGGGGTAGAGCTAACCCAATGTATGGGTGGAGTTCTTCAGGTAGAAGGCTCTTAACTAAAATCATAGAAATGTTTAGAAGAAACCTCTGAGGGTTTCTAGTCCAGCCTGTTATTCAGAGCAATATTTTTTGTAAATTCCAGGTCAGGTCAGTTGTCATAGACTCAAAATAAAGAATTTAAACTCTACGTGGTGCTTCTGAAGATTTCACTGAGAAAATGGACTGGATAGAAGCTGAATATAATGTACAAAAATAGTTTAAAAACTGTTTCAGGTTTTAAGTAATCCTGAATATATTCATACACAATTAGACAGGTATAAATCTAGAAAACAAGTATAATTTGGTTTGTTTAGCTTCTGAAATCTTCTTGCATGTTTGTGCCCTTGATTTTACTGCATATCTTCTCTATTCTTCCTGTCTAGAACCAGAAACTCAAAGTCTCATCTCCAAAGAGAAGAACTCTGTGTGTGATGGTGATTCTGGCTTTCATAATGCTGAATTATGGTCCACTCAGGTAAACGGTCTGGGAGCTCCTCTTTGCTCCTCCCGATACTCTTGCTGCTCAGCTGCAATCCAGAGCGAGTTTGCTGCCCTATGATATTTGTTTGTACTTAGATAGAGACTCTGGTGGTGTTTAAAGTCTTAAACTCACAACTTAGCTTTTTTCCTCCTCTCCTCTCTCTTGCATAGAGGGAGTACAGTCAGCATAATGGTGCCTCTTTCATAGTCCCTCTGGAGGGAAGAGATGGATTTTATACTTTCCATTTATCTTGGTTTAGCATTTTGCTGACTACTGTAGTATTCAGCAGTTATTCTGCATTTAGATCTGAAGGGATAAAAGGGATTCAATGTATAGAATCCTTTTAGTATAAGAAAAAAAGTTGGAAAAAGACTTTGAGAACAGATTTGCATGTTGATACCTGTGTTAATCTCCATAGCTGTGTGTTTAAGCTGTTTCTAGCATTCAGTGCAGAAGATTTCACCATTTGCTCCAGTGCTTTGTGATCCTCACCATTAGACATGTCTATCCTCAGTCTTTCTCATTAGAACTTAAGCCCTTAATCACTTGTCTTACAATCTGCCGAAGAGTTTTTTTTTTCTTTCCTTTCTCTTTTTTCCTCCTTTTCAACAGCTTTGTACAGTCTTGAAAGCAGTTGCTGTTTTTTTTCTTCGTATAATTAAGATTCTTTGTTTGGTCTTAAGTGTGTGGGTGATTTTTGTTTGTTTTTTTTCCGTAAACTTTGAAACCATGCAGGTTAATTTCTGCTCTTACTTTGTGCATATCCACCATTGGTGAATAGTTAGGTCTCTCACTATACATCAGTGACAACTCAAGGCTTTGTTTCTGGCTGTGATAATCAGTTCCAGTGCTTGGTTTTGAGTTCTTAAAATTATTAGTAAAATTGCTAACACTGAAATTACTTTTGAAGTATTTTCACTTACTGTTTCTTTTGGGCAGTGAAATACAGGTGATAATTTGACTTTGATATAAATCATATTAAAGTAGAAAGTTTCTAAGTGCATTTAGAGGTTATACTCGGATTTTTGATTATTAAGCAGAAAATTTGGCTTCCATGCGCTGAGTGATTGGTTTTTATATCTTGCCCCATTTGTGAACATTACTGCTCAATCAGAAGACACTCCTCCTGCTTGGTGAGAACTGAGTATTTTGAAGGTGGAAGAAACTTTAATTGCCTCTGCGTTAGCATGAGGAGCTGGAATGCATGAAGTATCATGCGACTCTTGGAAACAGGACAGAGGAGGAGAGGGGGAAGCTCTCTAAAGGGTGTCAGATCCCCCACCCTTTGGACTGAGTAATGTGTTGACTTGATAGCAAGAGACTGCTGTCAGGACAGGCTGGAGGGTCAGTTTGTGTTTCTGTCTCTGTAGCAATAGATAACTGTACAAGCAACAGGGGTATTTTTTAACGAAAAGGATGAAAAGGATTTTTTTCTTCTCCTGGCATTTGATGTAATAGGCAAGCCTGAACTACTGATGGCCTGCATCAATATTGGATTTAGACAGCAGGGAGAAATGTAGCTGATAATTAGCAAAGAATGACTCTTACCTTTCTGCCTTTTCTTTTGTCTTTGTCCCTTAGCAGTATGGATGCTTGCATTGCAGTTAAAATACTACACGGTACCAAGGCGCAGTGGATATTGATGTACAGCACCCTTGAGAAGGCCCAGAACTTGGCTATAGGAACCATTGCTTAAGTTTTCATTTCTCAAATGTTCCCTTCCTCTTATGGAGATGTTAGTGGCTCCACAAACACGAGTAACGATGGCTGTTCTGCTAAGTTTTAGCAACAGAAACCTGCAGTACATGGTTGTGGGTTTGTTTTTTTCCTAATTCCTAATTTCTGGGCAGTGATCACTTACCCATATAGAGATCTGGCAGATCTGGGCATGGGAAAAGCGCTGAGCAAGGTGGAGGGAGGCGTTGGTAGGACCAGGGAATTCTGCTGTCCCTTCCCCACATCTGTCTGTCTATGTAGTTCTGCATTTTTCCTTCTGTGTGAATGGGATGTGTTGCCCAGCTCTGGTTTATACGTAATTTCTGGGCAGTGATCACTTACCCATATAGAGATCTGGCAGATCTGGGCATGGGAAAAGCGCTGAGCAAGGTGGAGGGAGGCGTTGGTAGGACCAGGGAATTCTGCTGTCCCTTCCCAACATCTCTCTGTCTGTCTATGTAGTTCTGCATTCTTCCTTCTGTCTGAAAGGGATATGTTGTCCTAACTCTGGTTTATACATAGTTATTGGTCTTAGACCTTGTTTAG